TAGGGAAAGGAAAAGTAGAGGAGGCAGTGAAGGCAATGTAAAGTACATACTAGGGCTGGAGGTATAGCCAAGCAGGTGTGAGACCCCAGGTTCCATCTCCAATACTGCAAAAAAAAAAAAAAGGGGGGGGGCAGTGGTGGACTGGGAGCCTGGTCCAGTAGTAGTGTGTGCTTAGCATGTCTGAGTTCATTCCCCAACAAGGCAAATAAATACATAAGCAAAAGCAAATAAACAAACATATTAGATGCAACCAAACAACTAAAAAGTAAACCCAGGCTATCCCCCTAAATACATGTAGTCCCCTAACCTCCTTAATATTGTTAGGACCTCTTTCAAGGAGCATTTTGATCTAGTGCTGTTTGTCCACCCCTTAAATGACTAATGCTCATGTATGTTCTAAGAGACTGTAATTATCAAGCATAAGTTAGACTTACAGAACCAAGCAGTTTATAAAGCACTTTCACATACATTTCACTGACCATTCACTACCATCCTGTCAGGTAGTTATGGCTATCATTCCTATGAATAAGGAATGAAGTGATTTATGTAGCTATGTACAATTTGTTATGGATAGAGCCCCAACTCAAATCTTGTGACATCATATCCTAGGTACTTGCTACACCACACTGACTGTTCCTTTCCCAAAGAGTAACAAAACTATCCTATTTCTCAATTTGCACAGGTCTAATACCAATACTGTAAGAACAAGTGTTGGTTATGAATGACACCAATATGTCAATATAATATGAGCACAAAAAAGGAAACAAAACTTAGTTTTTACTCTGAAAGCCTCTGCTTAACCCCAACCTAATGTAGTTCTCACAACAGCCTATCAGGTAGGCACTGGCATTCGCAGTGTATCCCTCAGGAAACAGGCTCAGAGAGGCTGAGGAACCTGACTAAGGTCACACATTTTAAATGACTTAGCAATTATTCTAACCACAAATCCACTCTCTACACTGCCCTGCTTGGTATCATAGTGCTGTCCTTTTCTGGTCAACAATAAAGAATGAAACACTTTTCAGATTAAAATATTTTCATGTTTTAAAGTGTCAAACAACCATTCTCCCACTTGTTGCTGTTATAATCCCACTTCCAGCAGAGAATCTTTCCTTGGTTCTGATTTTTTTGTTTTACAGTACTGGAGTTTGAACCCAGGAATTCTCAAATGCTAGGCAAGTGATCCACCACTTAAGCCATGCCCCCAGCCCTTGTTTTATTTTTGAACAGGGTCTATCTGTTTAGCCCACGCTGGCCTACAACTCATGATCCTCCTGCCTCAGTCTCTCAGGTTGTTGGGATTACAGGTGTACACCACTACACCCAGCTTCAGTTCTGATTTTCTGTTGACTCTTAATATCTGCAGGCATCACTGTGCCTGGGAAAGAGGATAGCTGTTAAGAGAGAAAAGTGATATATCCTTAACAGCATGTTATAAGGCCACAAGAATCACACCAAAAATTTTTTCCCTGGTCTAAGTTAATTCTATCAAATAGCATGTGTGAGTTAGCAGAAATGTAAGCCTGCCCAAATAATTAGTAAATAAAAAACAATGACTATGAATAGTCTATCATTTTAATCTCCATTCTCTAAAGGGCTTAAACCAATCCACAAGACACAAGAAACAATGAAATATACAAAAGAAAATCTTACCATTCAGGAGTCTGATATCGCACTATACTACTGTGAATTATTAGTGACAGAGGCGTTAGCCTGAAAAGCATCATGTGCTTCCCCTCAGGTGGTATTGTTAATAAGGGATAATGATAGATTTTTTAAAAAACAATGTAAGCATGACACTTCAAATAGTTTTAAACTTGGAAAGATTACTGAAGGATTTCCCAACGGAATTTTTTTTTTTTTTTTGGTAATACTGGGCAGGGCCTCACACTTGCTAGGCAGACACTCTACCACTTGAGCCACTCCACCACCCTGTTTGTGTTAAGTATTTTTCAAGATAGGACCTCATGAACTATTTGCCAGAGCTGGCTTCGATCTGCAATCCTCCTGATCTCTGCCTCCTGAGTAGCTAGGATTACAGGTGTGAGCCCCTGCCACAAGCAAACTTTTTTTTAAAATTAGCTTTAACAAGTTAAGGTATATTACAACTCCCATAGGAGGCTTTCTTATCAGAAGCAAGCAGGAAGTTGTTTCTCTTAACACAAGCTGTACTCATAATGGAAAGTGAGTAGCCAAGGGGGAGAAATGGTCCAAACAATGTATGCAAAAATGACTAAATGAATAAAGAAAAAAGTAAGTAAAACACCGGTATTTTTATCACAAAAAAAAAAAAAGAAAGAAAAGAGAGTAGCAAAAACTCTTTTAACCAAAACTCTTGTTATGGGAACAAAAAAGAAAAGCTAGGTCTATCTTAGCCAAACTGAAGGGACCAATGGAAAAACCTGCTAGAACAAGGGCAAGAGTAGATAAAAAGAAAACAGGAAGAACTGAGCAAGAAAGAGTGTGGGGGGAGGGGAGAGGAGCAAGGCGCAAAGGCGGCAGGAACCCAGGAAGTACTAATGGAGATGGGTAACCCAGGTCTAGTAAAGTAAGGAAATGAATGCCTAGAGCCAGAGCCTGCCCTGTGCAAAGAACCCTCCTCTTCTGCAGGCTAAAATTAAGCTAAAGGAAACAAACTGGCCTGGACAAGAGAAGGAGTTCATTTGAACTATAAGGGAAGATTCTGTACCAGGATAAGGATAGTAGCTCAGGGTTTGTAAAGCACAGGCTGCACAAGGCCCAGGCTTAGCTCCCCAGCACCGCGAAAATAAAAGGTAAGAAGAGCAGTAACTGGTAAAGAAAGGAGGGAACTTTTTAGTGGGTTTTTGTTGTTGATTTATTCACATGTGCATACATTGTTTGGGTCACTTCTCCACCGTTTTTAGTGGTTTTTAAAATACTTTAAATGGGTCAGCAGGGCGTGCTAGTCCACACCTGTAATCCAATCAAAGCAGTCGTGGCTGTGGCAGGATAGAGAGTTCGAGGTCAGCCTGAGCTACATAACAATAGCCTGTCTCAAAAAACAAAAACAAAAGCAAAAAAAACTTTAAATGGATTAATTGTAAGATGGAAAATTATATCCCAATAAGTGTATTTTTAAGTGTGCTAAGCTAGGCCATGTGTGTGCGGTTATGATTTCATTAGCATGATTGATTCAGCTGTCTGTAAGAGTACCCTCGTATTCTCTCCATCAGTAGGTAGAGATGACTCGTGTCTGGGAACATCTCTACTGCAATACATCAGTCTCAGAAGGCAGGAGTATTATGAATACAGAGGCAGCATTAGGGGGGAAACTAGGAGCTCCCTCTTCAAAGAAGACATCTTCATTTTTGCCCTTGAAATTTACTAGATAGAAATTTATTTGGTGGTGTGGGAGAAAGAAGCTTTTGGGTAGGATCTGCCTTGAAGTGGAATATCAGGGTTCTTCTGGAGATGATCTAGGACCAAAATCTATCCAGTCAAAGAGAAAACGACCTGGGGTGGAAAAGTGAGGCCAGTTCTGGAGAAATCCCAGAAGGTTCATCGTGAAATGATCACACAGACATATCCCTGCTACCCCCAAACTGGACCGCAAGCCGGGTGTCACTTCCGCCTGTATCTTGGGAAGACAGATGCTCTGCCATGATCCCAGAAGTTTCTGGCGAGCTGCCCACTGACGCAAATTAGAAAGCCATTGGGGATCCACCTGGCGAAGCTACATGCCACGTCCAGAGCTGGGCTAGCCCCCACCTCGCTCCCGAGGCAGTGAGGGACAGGGACCGAGGAGGGAGAGCAGACGAGCGGGAACCGGGGTCTTCGCCCTCCTCCCCGAGTCTTCGCCCTCCTCCCCACAGAGGGGTTTCGGGGAGGAGGGCGAAGACCCCTCCCCCGCGCACGCCGAGCCCCGCCGCCCCCGCCTTGGGCAGTTACCCCAACGGCGGAGGAGGGGGCAGCAGCGAACGCCCCCGCCGGCGGCAGCCGAAGGTCCCCGGGGCGGCGGGCGCCCGCCCGGCCCAGCCCGGCCTCCCCTGGAGCAATAGGCTATCGATTCAGCGGCCTGTCGCTAGGAGCCCCGGGAGAGCGAGGCCTACATAGCCGGGCCGGAGCCCCGGCCTCGATTTCGCCACTTTGCCCACACCGGAGGGGGACCCTGGGGGCAGCCAGGACCAGCTGAGCAGGACAGAGTAGGCGAGCGGACCACTGGCAACAGCGGGAGCGGAGTGCGGGGGCCGGGCTTCCGCCAACAAGTCTCCGGGGGGTCCCCAGCGACCCCCCGGCCTGGCGAGTGGCGCATTCAAGTTCACACTGGTGCACCCCACCCCCACCCCCCACCCCCGGCCCAGCCCCTCTCGGAACCATCAAGAAAACAAGACGCGGAAGAGGCAGCCGCGCACACCGAGATGGAGCTGGGCCCTTGGGGCGGCCCCGGGGGGCGGCCGGCAGCGGCCCGCCCGCCCGCCTCCTCCCCTCCGCCGACCCCGCCAGCCCCGCGGCATCCCGCCGGCCCTGTCACCCGCGCCCCCCTCCCCCCGGCCCCTTCTCCACGACACCGGGGAAGCGGGCTCGAGCTCCCCCTGGCCTCGGGCGCGCCTCGGCCTCGTCTCCCTCCGAATCCCCAAAATGCCTCCCGCACCGCACCTTTTATTAAAGTGTGCGGAGAGTTTGCCACCCAACTTCGTCCAGAGGGAGCCTCGCCCCCCTCCCTGCCCGACCCCCCACTTTCGGGGCAGGCATGGGGAGAGACGACTTTGCACTTGGGATAAAGCGCACTGGGGACCTGTCAACCATTTTAGGTCTTTTTTTTTTTCTGTAGGAGACATCCTTCCCTTCCCCTCATTCCCTCCCTCCCTCCCTTCCCCTGCAATGGTTTTAATTTGACACCGAATCTGCCCAGCGCTGGAGAGAGGGGTGGAGGAGGGAGGGGGTGGGGACGAGGGCAGGAGGAGGGTGGCGAGGGACCGCCAGGGGCGGCTGGAGGGGACCCGGGCCGCGGGGAAGGAAGGGAAGGGGGTTTGATTTACCTGAGACCAGCCACTGGCCTCCATTGTTGGAGAATTCAATGGCATTGACACAGCCGAAGTGGCCGAGGAGGTCCTTCTTGTAGAGGTTTCTGCAGCCCCGCAGGCGTCTCCTCTGAAAGTCCTGAGTGAGCAGGGGGTCCCCATGCAAGCCCCGCTGGGACAAGAAGCCCACCACTGACCTCATGCTGCCCCCCAGGCCAGCTCTCCTCTTCATGCTGGAACCGCCGCCGCCGCCGCTCGCGCCGCCGCCCCTCCCTCGGCCTCTCGCGCGGCCGCCGCTCCCCCCCCCCCCGCCCGGCCCTCCCCCCGGCTGCGATCCGGATGGTTCTTTAGCCAGCCATGGCAGACAGAGCGAGGTGTGTAGACGCTCGGTGGCGTTCGCGGCTTCCTGACGGTGCCCTCCTCTCTCCCTTCCCCCCGCCCCTCAGGCTCCTCCCTCAGCGGCTCCGCCTCCTCCAGCAGCTGAACCTCAGCTGCGGCCGCGCTTCCGCGACGCGCGGCCCTTCCGCCGGCCGCGGCCGAGGAGCGCGGGCGCCCGCGGCCCCTCCCCCAGCGCGCTGCTGCCGGGAGACCGCGGGGGGCCGCGGGGGCCGGGAGCGCCGCGCTCAGTGAGGCTGAAGGCGTGTAACAATCGCCGTGGCTGCGGGCCGTGGGCTCGCCGTCCTCCGGACGCCGCCAGCAGGCCCGGTGCCGGGAGGGGTTCGGGCCAGGGCGACCCGAGGTGGCCCAGAAGCGGGGGAGGGTGCGGGCCGCGCGCGGGGCCTCCTCCCTCCCTCGGCTCCTGAGCCCACTGAAGGAAGTGGACCCGAGCCGGGACTGGGAATTTGTCAGTGCACCTGCCCTCCCCCCACCCCAGTCAGTTCTCTAATCTCCCTTCCGCCAGCCCTTCAGTGAAGAGGGCTCAACTGTTCAATCTGCCAGGCGGGAGAAAGGGATTAGGAAGTGAGAAGCGGTGGGGGGAGCTTGGTGGTGGAGCACGTGCTTAGTTAGCACGCTCGAAGCCCTGCCATCCGCCACCATCCCCACCACAGTGAGAGGGAAACTGCCCAAATGGACTTGAGAAAGTTCTGCCGGGCACCCATTCCAGATGCATTTGCAGGATACGGAAGCGTTTTTGAACACAGTTATGGCTGTTAAACGGGGAGCCATGGCCCCTCTTGGAGGTCTTGAGTGTGTGGCTTCCAGGTTCACAGCTGTTAGCCGGCAGCTGTGGTCCAAGCCAGAAGTGGCTGCCTTTCCCTTCAGTAGGATAGGTGTCCCAAAGGTGACCGCAGTGAGGAAACTGGGTTAAGTGCTTCGGAATTTTACCAGAGTTAAAAGTCCCCTTTTCAGTGCAGTGCTTTTCCTCGAAGCTATCTTCTGTCACCAAATGGTAATTAGCTACTGAAAGAGGCAGGTGTCAGTTTTGTCCGTTCCCTTTAGCAGGTTGTTGAGAAAAAGCACCGCTGAAAGATGGGCTGAAGAAAAACAATTTTAAAAAAAATGGACTGAACAAGAAGAGGTTCACCTGGGGCTGGTGGAGGGCCCAAGTGGTGGAGCACCTGTCTAGCGAACGTGAGACCCTAGGTTCAAACACCAGTACCGCCAAAAAAAAAAAAAAGTTCACCTGTCAAGCAAAATTACCTATTTTTGTACATTGACGGTGAAGATTAATCATCCTAATAACAAACATTGGTAAACTTATCAGAAATTCAACAAATTGCAGAAATTAGAATTTTAATGGAATAGTATTCCCTTAGGGGGAATACTTTCTTTCAAAAAGTCTTATTCTCAGCAGGGCGCTTGTGGCTCACACCTGTAATCTTAACAGCTTGAGAGGCTGGATCTGGAGAATGGAGATGTGAGGCCAGCACAGATAAATAATTCGAAAGACCCCCATCTCTAAAATAACCAGAGCAAAATGGACCAGAGGTGTGGCTCAAGCAGTAGAGCACCTGCTTTTCAAGTGTGAAGCCCTGAGTTCAAACCCCAGCCCTACCGAAAAAGAAAAAGTTTTATTCTCAAGATACTTGATCAAGTGTTTATTCTTTATACCATGTAAAGCCTAATAGCAGTATACTAGCTTGATTAAAGACTTAGATCACCAAGCGTCTTTCCTTCACAGCAGTGTCAATGTGCAATTGATCATTTATTTTGGTGAGTATGTGATCTTCTCCCCCCCGCCTGCTGTAAGCTCTCTGAGAACAGGGAGAACAGAACATGTCTGTTCTGCTTCGTTGTATATTTCTTTCTTTCTTTCTTTTAAGTATGGAACGCTTCACGAATTTGTGTATCATCCTCGTGCAGGGGCCATGCTAATCTTCTCTGTATCTTCCAATTTTAGTATATGTGCTGCTGAAGCCAGCACTCTGTTGTAATTTCAAAAGCCAACACATGCTGGCACTTGGTGTCCACTTTAGTATTTGCTGATTACATGAACGAAGGTAGCAAGCGGGGCGGGATTTGGAGGAGAAGGTAATGACTTTAGTTTTGGATGTGTTGACTTGGAAGTGTCTGCTTCATCCCAGTGGGTCCATTCATTGCCAGACCAGGTTCCCATCACACTGTTCTTTTGCATGACATGCTCAACCCATCCATTCAAAAAGAGAGTGATCTGGCTCCTTCAGGTGAATGGGCCATCATTTTATCCCTGCCCTATTTGCCTGGGGTGGGGGAGGTGGACATAGTAACCATATGTTAGAAGTGGCCTTTACTGTGCCTGTGTGTCACACACACCCTCCCATCCCCTGTTAAGTACATAGCTTTTCACTGTAATTTTAAACATGATCTCTTTTCCACAATCCCTGGAAAAACTGTCCCATTCACCTCAGTGTAAAAATAGCCTGGAACCAATTCTAAGACTTTGCTGGAAACTTCCTTAACTTGACTGTTCAATAACCAAACAGGGCAGAAATGTAGGACCAACCAGTCTATTTGTCCTACTGCTACTCTGGGCAGCTTTTAGTAAGGAGAGGGAATAAAGTCTCTTCTATAATTAGTGCCACCAGATAAATTACAGGATACTCAGCTCAGTAGGAATTTCAGGTAGACTGAATTATGTATCCCTTTTGGAATATACTTATACTAAAATAATTGTTCCTTGTTTATCTGAAATTCAAACTGAGCTGGACAGCCTGTATTTTTATTTGCTAACTCTGGCAATCCTACCTATAACATAAGCAATTTCGGAAAATCAAGCGCCATGGTGTCTATTTGCCTTTATTAAGAATTTTATGCAGCCTCTCTCTCTCCTTGCTTCCTGGTTGCGGTAAGACAAACAGTTTTGCTATACTACTACATGGTGATTCTGCCTCACCACATGCCTAGAAAAGACAGAGCCTGGTAAACATGGACAGAAACCTCTGAAACCATCAGCCAATGAATCTTTTCTCCTTTAAAAAAAAAAAAAAAAAAAAAGGAGGGGGTTGCAGGGGATAGGACTGGAGGCTTGGTGCAGGTGGAAGAACACCTGCCTAACAAGCATGAGGTCCTGAGTTCAAACCACCAAAACAAAATAAAACAAAAAACCCAATGTTAAAAAGAAAGAAAGAAAGAAAAAGATACAGGTTTGAGGCTGGAGGACTGACTCCAGTGGTAGAGTGCCTGCTTAGCAAGCTCAAGGCCCTGAGTTCAAACCCCCATATCTCCAAAACTGGGCATGATAGTGCACTCCTGTAATTCCAGTTACTTGGGAGACAGAGGCAGGAGTTCCAGACTAGCTCAGGCAAAATTAGTGAAACCCTGTCTCAAAAACAAAATACAAACAAAAGGGCTGGGGATATAGCTTAAGTGGTAGAGCATACTTGCTATCATGCTTGAGGCCTTGAGTTCAATCCTCAGTACTTTTTTTTTTTTTTAGTTTTAGCAAGGATTTATTTTAGTGTAACAGGATAAAGTATAGGCAAGGTCTGGGGGGAGAGGAGAAAAAGAAAGAGAAACATTTCCTGTTCCCCACACAGGAAATGGGAGCAAAGACTCAAATGGTGGTCCCCATCTCTTAGTCTTATGCTCCATCCTCAGTACTTTTAAAAAAAGGAAAGAAAGAGTTGACTCCCTGTGGCATTATTGCAAATTAATAATGTTACATACAACTATATAATACAAAAATTTAATCAACTTCAATGACCATATGAACTTTTCTTTTTTCAGATAGGCATTTATAGTGAAAGGGTTATACTTTTAAAATAAATGAATTTGCGGGCAGTAGGGGGGACAATACTTGAGTTTGAACTCAAGGCCTGTATGCTTGCTAGGCAGGTGCTCTACTCCTTGAGCCACTCCACCAGCCCTGTTTTGTGTTGGGTATTTTCGAAATAGGATCTTGAGAACTGTTTGCCCAGGTTGGCCTTGAACCTCAATCTTCCTGATCTTTGCCTCCCAAGTAGCTAGGATTACAGAGATGAGCCACTGGCACCTGGCTTCACTTTCTTGATTGTATTAGAGGAAGCAATAAAGCTCTTAATTTTGCTGAGCTCCAGATTTTTTTTTTTTTTTGGTGGTACTTGAGTTTGAACTCAGTGCCTCACGCTTACTAGGTAGGCTCTCTACTATGTGAGCCACTCCACCTGCCCTCTATTTTTTTTTTCTTTTGTCACTGGTGCTTTTGGTGTCCTATTTATGAAACCACTGCCTAATCCTATATTTCTTCAAAGAGTTGTATTGTTTTAACACTTACACTTAGGTCTGTGGTCCATTTTGAATTAATTTTTATATATGGTGTGAGGTAGGGGTCCAACTTCATTCTTTTACAGGTGGATCTGGTCGTCATCTCAGCACCAGTTGTTTACAAGATGACTCTTTTCTCCATTGAATTGCTAATACATAGAGATGCAATCATTTCTTATACGTTGGCCTTATGTCCTGCAAATTCACTTAACCCATTTACTAACTTGAGAGGTTTTTGTGGATTTCTTAAATTTTCTGCATAGAGTAGATCTTTGGTATCTGCAGGTATATAGTTGCAAGGAGACTGCTACTGAGGAAAAACTGAATGCTCAGGATGCAGAGTTTAAAAAGTACTGATGATAACGTGGAACTGACTGAGAGCCTCTACACATCAACTGAGCTGCATATTGCAAGCATGGGAATCTTTTTTTTTTTAACCACACTTAGTCAAATCTTTGTGTAAAAAATATGCAAATAAGGGGCTTACTGTACAAGATCATGTTATTTTACCTCCTTTTAGTCAATTTGAATGCCTTCTATTTGTTTTTGTTTTAATATGAGCACATTAAATTTAATTTATTGGTGAATTAATATGAGTGTCGTCATTCTCCATTAGCCTTGCTTATTGTTTTTCTTTTTTTTATTTGGTTTGGCTTATAATTTTTTTGTTTGGTTGGTAGGTGTTTTGTTTGTTTCTCAGTATTGGGGATTGAACTAGGTTTTGTTTTTCTGAGATAGAGTTACATGTATGCAGCCTTACAAGCCCAGTGACCATCAAGGACAGGCCCCTCGA